TGTTATGTGTTATTGTTTAATTTGTGGTGAAAATAATATAAATGCGTTCTAAATAATTTGGGTTTTACCAGTGATATCTTGTAAATTATTTTAGTCAGTATCCTAACAATAAACGGAATTATGAAAATTCGATGTTTTATACATTACCCAGTAAAACCATACATTACATTTAATTTCACCATTATACCTCTATAATCGGGATCATAGTGTTTACTTATTTACAAATATGTCTTGACATGGTATGGTGCATACAATAACCACTAATGATAGGACGATCCCAGTATTTTATTGTAAACTAATAGTAATATTAAGTTTAATAGTTCTATGGGTGAATTAGCAATCTATCTTGCTATCCAATTATGTATTGTATTGCTATGTAAGTAAGCGTGTAAATCCGTTATTATGTGCAGTTGGAGTACCTACTATATATAAGAATAACATATGCATGTATATAAATGGTAAAATTCAATGAGTAAAACTTCAAAAAAATCTGTATTATAGTAGGTAGGTACTTTTTAATCATGTGTATTTGCCTTCGCTTCTATTTCTCAATTTAATTGCACTCTGTTTTATATCTATTTAAACTATTGTTGTCTTGTATTGCTTCTGGAATGATTAATATTACATAATAACAATAATAAAAATGTTTTTATACCTAGTAATAATCTATTATAATATCTGGGGATTCGTTCTACGTGTGTTAGAATCGCTCGCAGTAGGGCGGAACCCAGACATTGTATGTAACAAGAAACCGAATGCAAGCGACCGCACCGTTTTGTTCCGCGACTGACTTTAATACAATTAGATGTCACGCGGTTAAAAACCGCCGCGGTTCCGCTGTAGTGCGGCCGGGAATTACAGTTACAGTTATCGTAAGCTAAAGTTTAGTGTGGGTGTTGTGCGCACAATGGTATTAATTCCGTGTATAATAATACAACAGTGAATTACTAGCTAGATGTGCAAGACGATCTTTCGAACTGACTATAATTAAGTATAATAATTAACAAACGTCAATTTCTTTTGACTTCTTTATGCACAGCCGTGACGTACTTACAGATTGATATTTGTTTCTTTTTTATTTTAAACTTGCACAGTAAAAAAGTTTGAAGAAATATAGAATTATATGCCAGGTCGACACAGCCGCCATCTACAACGGTGTATTGATAGCTACTCTGTATACTAACAATATTACTTGATAACTCTTAATAAATTGTATGTAGGAAATTTTGCCATTAACTGTTTAATGGGGGCTAACGTATATTTACTCACCAGATGGCACATATGTAGAAAGGGATTTTTATCCAATCACTGCCGTTGTCAAATATTGAACGCCCAATCGTGGGATTACTACATAATACCCTATTGGACAAACAACGAGAGGTTCACACTAGCGTCACATGGTGAGCAAAATACGGTAGGCCCTATATATTAACTGACTAAATTGATCTTTTTGAGAGGCTTCTTTAACAATTTTGTTTGAATTAATCAGCATTTATTGACATTAAGATATTGCACTTGCACAGATGAATACAAATTAGTTTGTTATTGTTTTAATGAATAGCTTACTGTGGCTGAATAATATAATTCGAAAACTTTTAAGATAGGTACATATAATAAAGAAAATCTATTGTAAACGTGTATATGTGTGGAGGGTGTATTGTAAATATGGAAATCTATTATAATTATAACTAATATTGCTATTACGGGTACCGCGAGACGCTGACGTCCCAAGGACAGGAAGACTGAGTTACTATGTATAAATGTATGTGTATAAAATGCATCGGCAAAGAATTCTTGGAAGACTCTTCGTTATTTTCGGATTATCTTAGTGCTATATTATCATTGTATGGAATGTCATGGCAGGCTACTGAGTCCTCTACCTAGCAGTTCTAGTCTAGGGATAAATATTTGTAAATAGCAAGAGTTAAAATCATATATCAAACTCATTACAGAAGTACAAGGTCAATTTTTCGCAATTTGCCAAGATTTCTGTATTACACAAGAGTGATTGATATATATTACACATATTGTCATATTTTCTCAATTTGACAGCTGGCTACAAAGGTGCTATTGTGTATAAATAGTCTACTATATAAACAAGTAGGTATATAAATTATAATAATGTAACATTTGTATAGTATCTATGTATTTTCACTATGTATATGAAATTAGGAAAGTGGCAGTAGCTGTCATTAACATAACTAAATGTAAATAAATAATAATAATTAACAATTACAATACTTGATGATCAATAACAAATTAGAAATTCAGAGGTGAGTGCAGACCCTACAATGTGATGAATTAGGCCCGTTATTAATTTATACATTTCAAAATTAAGCCGTTTTCCATTAGAATCTATAAGTTTGCCGGAGTTTAGCACGTACCTCTGAGTCCCAAGCTTTGTTTCTCTTAGACCTTTGAAGCTGGGGTCGCGCGTGACGCTGGGGTCATAGCATGGGGAAATGTGAGTCACAGTTATGGTGCAAGGCTGCGGCCAGGACTGCGTGGAGAGCATGCGACCTTCCGGGCGGAGGCAGGAGAGAGAGGACTCGACTCTCCCCGGTCGCGGTGCCTTCAGCCCCAGTGTAACGCGCCACCCGAGCCATCGCCGCTGCGCTTATCTGGTTGAGACAGAAAAACATAAATCTTATTTACAGATAATATAAATATAATATTATCATTAAGGCGTACTCAATACTAATTATACGAGTTTATGTCGAAAAATGCGTACGCGCAACATCGCGTAATATGTTATGGATTTAAGTTCATTAAAAGAATGTATCACCTACATTGTGTCAATTAATAATCTAACAATGCGTCCAAATTAGAAATAAAAAAAAGTCGTCTAGTTCCAACAAAAACCATACGACGCGGCTAATTATACCTGTATTTGTTAACATACCTGGTATTCCTCATCTTCATCAGGCATCCTGGTCTCCAACAACTTGGACTGTCTCCTTTGCATCACGCACAGCTATGAACAACGACCATAACAATCAGAAAATAGTCCTGTTAACTATGTACATCCTTATGTATAAAAATAATTAGTAGAATGGTAGGTTTTAATTATTGAAATGTAAGTTACCTCAATGATTTGTCCTTGGTATGGACTCAAGGTGCAGAACCTGAAGTCTATCATCTCCATGATTCGCTCCGACTCAGGGTCAGCCACGATCAGGAACTGAGAAAGTCAAAATGATGTGAGTTATTATTTGCCCCATTCATTTTGAAGTAAATCTACAAGTTCTATTTAACAGTATCTATCACTTGTGGAGGCAATAACGACAAAACCAATGACACAAGCAACTGATGACAAAAAAACTTAACTAATTTGACCCATAAAAACAAAATCAACAAATAAAATATTTGCTAGTAAGTAACCTTGCAAAAGCTGCACTGATTGGACAAATACAATCACCAAACTAGTGCCATCTTGTGAGTGCAAAATTAAAACCCTGATTAAATCGATGCGATGCAAGTATTGCGACCAAGGGTGTGGACTCAATATCCACATGGGACATTTGACCTTACTTATCATTTCACGGACTTTAAATTGACTTGGTTTACATGTAAAATGTAAGGCCTTACCTTATGTGTGACCAGTAGTTGGAGCTGCGCGTTATCGACCAGGACCTCGAACCCGGTGAATGCGTTGAGCTCGCACATGCGGAACACCCAGCGCACGCAGTCTCTATGCCAGCCGGACTGCGCGCGCGGCTGGATCGAGGACGACAGACGGCGAGGCTGGAAGGGAATAGTGTACGTCATTTATTACTAACATTTTGGACACTTCTTGTGACTGAAATAATTCTAACAGTTAAAGATAAATGATAATCGTCAACAGTTCTAATGAAATAAAATATGGTTTTTACTTTCAATAACAGATGTTTTCAGCCTCTCCCCTTCCCCCCTGGTGTTCCAGGGGTCCATACGAGGCGTCAATTACTTATCATCAAATAAACCGTGTACTTGTTTAGCGTATGAACATTCCATGTTATAAAAATTAAATGAACTAGAATTATAAACATTCTCAAACCTCGGGTACAGGATCCCAGCCAGTCTGTCGGAGCAGGCCGGACCCAGCATAGGCTACGAGGTCAGCAGTAGCGCTGAGCGGCTTAGTGAGTGCTCCGAGGATACCGCGCCGTAATGCCGCCGCCCCACTCTCTGTCTCCCCCACTGCCACCCCCACTAAGGGGTGATGCGCTAGACCACCCACTGCTCCTGTAGATAGGAGTGACAATTTGTCCGTTAAGGTTGAACAAAAATGTTTGAGTTGAACACTAATAAAAAGAATTGCTTTGTTTGAATCGCTTGCGCATATAACATAAGACAGGCACTTTACCGAGTATATTAATAGCGAAGTTGGTGATGCCAGCGACAAGTCCCGCTACGAAGCTGGGCGGTGGTCTCCTCCTCGCCGCTGCGGCTCGCCTCGCATGCTCTTCATCACCAGCCAACAGGTCCAGGTTCCTCGCTAGAGACCCTGCCCACGCGCTCAATGATCGAAGCAGTGCTGCCGCCGCAGCGGATGCTACGCCCCTCACACCACCCGTGGCACCGCCCAAACGAGCCGCTAGGGCTCCAGGCGCACCTAATAATTCCAAGCCGCCGACTACCCAACCTAATAAAAAAATATTACTTTCAGACGGTATCCTTAAATTAAAAGTGTATGAATAGTGGCTAAGGTTAGGGCCTCCCAAAAGCGCGATGGATCGCGTAGAGTAACTAGGATTGAATGGGTCATAATGGTGGTAGTAGTGGTGATGGTGACGCCGTTAATGATAGTAGTGGTGATGGTGATGGCGGTGATGATAGTACTGGTGATGGTGATGGCAGTGGTGATGGTGATGGCGGTGGTGATAGTGGTAATGATGATGGTGGTGGTGGTGATAGTAGTGGTGATGGTGATGATAGTGATTGTGGTGATGATAGTACTAGTGATGGTGGTGGTGATAGTAGTGGTGATGGTGATTGTGGTGGTGATAGTGGTAATGATGATGGTGGTGGTGGTGATAGTAGTGGTGATGGTGATTGTGGTGGTGGTGATAGTAGTGGCGATAGTGATTGTGGTGATGATAGTACTAGTGATGGTGGTGGTGATAGTAGTGGTGATGGTGATTGTGGTGGCGGTGGTCATAATAATAATGATTGTGATAGCACTGGTTATTATAGTGGTGATTGTGATGGCGGTGGCGATAGTAGTGGTGATAGTGACGCGGTTAGTGATAGCAGTGGTGATGGTGATTGCGGTGATGATAATACTGGTGATTGTGATGGCGGTGGTGGTAGTAGTAGTGATGGTGATGGCTGTCGCGATTGTAGTGGTGATGATGATGGCGGCTATGGTTGTTATGGCAATGATGGTTGTGACGGTGATGATACTAATGATGGTGATGTCGGTGATGGTGACAATGATGATGACCCTCAGGATGATAAAATGCAAGAGTAACTCACCTGCTCCCAAAATGGCGGCAGACAGGTAATGCACGGTGAGCGCATGCGTGAGGCGTTCTGCTGACGTCATCATGTCATGCAGTTTGAAAGCACTCAGGCGCAACGGACTTTGATCCAGAGCTATGTACATTCGCACCTGGAATACGAAAATAATATTAGTATGCATTTACACACACACAAATTTACTAACATACAAAAAGCATTTTTGTATCTTTTACCGATTTTTAAAAGCGATACGGAATTATCGAAAACCCCTACACCCATAGTTCAGGAACGAACATCCCCTTGTCAAAAAGCAAGGTCAACAATGTAGACATGTTTTCTATCGTTTTTCTTGGAATTACTGTAAAATATTCCGGTTTTTGGTTACTTACGGCAGTATGAAGCGTCAATGTGAGATCGAGTGGATGGACATGCAGCACCCTGAGCCGCAGTGGTTTCTGTATGGACCTCTCCTCGCTCAGCGAACCTTGGTCACTGGCGCTGGCCGACGGGAGCAGGAGATGGGACATGTCTACTAAAGCCTTTATGAAGGCGTCCTCCACGTAAAGAGCTAGAGTACCCACTCTCAGATCCACTTCTGTTAGTTCTGCGGAATCATATAAATGGTGGTCAGTTAAATTGTGTTGCTGTGACTGTTCGTAATCAGCGATATTTAAGGATTGTAACGCGGCAATCCGATTTCAGTATGTGTCAGACGCACGCGCGCATCTCTAGTAGCAACGCCACCTCACTATTCCTCTTCCTCCGCTTCCCCGCCACTGACTGCTCGTGGTTTGCTAAAGAGCGTAACGTCACAAGAAGTCTCGCGCCCGTGCCGTGAAGCACGCACTGTTATTATAATTTGTAAACTTTATGTACCTTTATGTACACAAGTTTACAGTTTACAGAGAACTAAATAAGCGACATCATACCTTTAAATGATTACTTAAACTATTCTTTAGTAACGAGTTTTTTAAAAAACGGTGCTTAGAGTTTATCGAATCCCTAATTATTGATGGATTTGTTTTCTAGGTAAAAGCTTCAGTTGGTTGGATAGAATTACCATAATGTTACACCAATCAAACCACTAATAACAGTAAATTACTGTATACATTGATGCAAATAATTTATCAGTAGTGCGCACGCGCAGACGTCAGATTTTCGTTCGCAAAACGTCCCCCACGGTTATGAGCTCTTGGAGTGACTTGAAACTAGTCGTAAAACCTCTTTAAAAGGTTAATTGAGTAAGCTGTTCAACATAACTTATTTAAATTTATAATTGATTAGGGATTCCTTCCACGGCATTGAAAGACCGATTGCCGCCATAGAGAAGATAACAAAGTGTTTAAGGCAGCAGGCTTTGGCCTGCCGCGGCGTGCCATGGCAAGGTGCTGGTATGCCATGGAATCTAAGCAGCTTGTGTGCGCTGACTGACGGCAAAATCACTTGACCTCCCGGTCTGCGTAGGTTTTTATAATACAAAAAAACACAAAGTGTAATGCCACATACTAATTCGTTCATCATCTGACCAACCTTTATATTTATTATTGACGACTTCCCACTTGTCATGCTGTAGTTGGAGTTCAAGTCTTGCAGTATCCGCCCTGGTGGCGAAGGTGTCTCGTTCAGCGAACATGTTCCACAGAGGGGGCCACCGGTCGGGCTCTAGAGGCTCGGCACGAGTGCTGGCTATCACTGCGAAGTCATACTGTCCCGTCTCGTACTGCAAGTTATCTATCTGCGCGTCCGCTATTGACAGGATTGTTTTTGTTTTCTGTGGAGGATGGAAGCAACATTGTAATTATATAATGTAATTATGAATAAGTTACTTAGATGTACATATTTGTGCGTGTGCGTTTGTATGTAAGTGTGTGAAATATTAGATGCGCACGCGCATGTGTATGTATATGCGCCCCAGTGGTGTTGGTTAATAATAAATACTGAAGATCGAACTAAAAGGGCTGCATATAAAGTATTCTTTCTAGGCAACCGGATTAACCCTCTGATTGGCCAGATCCAATAAACCAACCAATAAGAGCGCGCCGAAAGCGGTCTCGTTTCGATTACTTTAATTGTAAAACAAACTCGTAAGCCCCCTGTTATCAAATTTTCAGAACATCTTAATTAGTTGTCATAAGACATTAAATTGTCCCTCACCTTGCTATCGGACTGCATAAGTAACGCGGTGCGATCGAGGTGCACAGCCAGTAGTGGTGTCACATCGGATGCGGCCGACAGTTCCACCGAAACCCCTGCGATGACGCAGCGGAACCGCTCCGCGTTCCCTGCAGTTTCGTCCATTTGGTCGAGTTCTGTAAAATTTATACCAAATTAGCAAAATATTTTACACTTGCCGTAAGATTTCGACGATATTCCAAAAGATGGAGCTGCACTAAACCTTTCGTAGAAAGAAAAAAGGCATGACTTTGACATTGTTTCAAATTCAACTAAAAATGTCATGCAAAGGCACAACAGACATGTTTCGCCTCCATCTGATTAAAATATTCTGCATTTTTTACAAAGAAACAATCGACCTTTATCTCATACGCAAGAACCGTGACCTGTTTGACTGTAGTTTGTGAACAAATGTTAAAACTTGTATAATAATCCCAATCACTTTTTATAGAGTAAAAAAAGCAAATAAAGAAATATTTATTTCCATTACATTCTGGTCGTGATGAAAAGTGAAGAACAATAGGCGCACTTACCGGGCTCCAAATCTTGGTTCTGAAACCTTGTATCTGATGCGTACATGAAGCCCGAGTTTCGAATTATGCGGCTATTTGAGCCTTCCATAGACGTAGACCAGTACACACCATCCTGGCTAAGAGACCCTGCAATATTGAGATGCTATTGTAGAAATTTAGCTTCTCGTCGTACTTATATACTTTAATGCCGTCTCAACTTAATACATTACTAATAAACTAGTTTGCGCAAATAGCGCAAATTTTCCGCTAACTGCGCAAAATTTGCGCAAGTACCAGAAAACTTCAGGTAAGATAGTACAACTTAAAAGGTGCACAAACCATACTTCAAAACTGAATAGCTAGGTAGAACTACGGTAAATGTCTATTTTTTGTTAAACTTACTCTTTTTTTTAAACTTATAATCCGAGTCTTCGCCTTTCCCAGTAGACGGAGATCGCAATTGGTGCGTAACCTTGCTTTCGTACATCGACCCGCTTACATTGACATCTCCCGGAGAGTGCACTGCAAAAGAAATTATTGAAGAATTTGAAAATTAAAAAAAAACTTTTACGAGTGAAACTTAGTCGCCATACCATAACAGTTTAGGTACAAGAGAAAATATGAAGTGACTATCTCGCACTTCTTTAAGAGGTTAAGGGCGGCTAACAATTAAGCGCAATGTTTTTTCCTCATATATAATCTGCATACACTCCTTTATATTACTTTTTTGCTGGGCAAAGACATCCAAACAAACAGATACACACACTTTTATATTTATAACTTTAGTATTTATGATTGCGCTTAACACCTTGAACGCCATGGGGGACAAGGTATGGGCCACGCTAGCGGAGGATTTACCTTAACAGTTTTCTGTCGGCAGTCAAAGCCTTAATTACATTTCTCCGACCAACACAAAAATAAAATAAAAGGAGTGTGTAAAGTTTCCAGCAGATACGTCTACATCTGACGAACTTTGCGAGCGTGTATAATTCACCCCTTCAATAATATTCACCCCGTTCTATGGGGGGCTACTGTATTTTTGCTCATCAGATGGCGGTAATGTGTTCCTCTCGTTTTTCTTACTATACTTGCTAATTCCTTGGACGTTCAATATTAGCGCCATTAGGTGAGTGAAAAATTTCGCCCTCATTAATTGGAAGGAGTATGTACAAGAATAAACTTACCTCGGCAAGCAGCACCCACTCTCTCCAAACTTGGCACAGCTGTCACGACCGGTTCCTGCAAACACAACATTAATGTAACTTGGCAAAAAAGAGTTTCGAATAATTGAGGTCGCTAGTACCGTATCTATGGCAACTTCGTACACTGCGACTCAATTGGATTTGATATTTGTTATTTCTATTGAGTTTAAAAAGGGATATGGGATATGGATCAAACTGTACTATTCAATAAGTGATACACTTAATATCATTGTTGTCTATCAACCAATCATCAAAATATCACCTATTGATGCTAGGGATCTTTTCACGGGCCCTACTAAGTTTTTTTAAATGTTTTATTATACATCTTGTAATGTAAGCCCGGATAGTAGAACCTAACGGGTTACCGGGGCATCGGCTCGTAGTGCAGGAGAAGAAACAGGGTTTGGTTTTTTGTAAGTAAGAGTCTGACACTCCCTCCCTCCTCACTCAGGCGGGATAGCACGACACACAACGAAGTTTTCAACTTGAGAACAAATGCTTCATACGGAATGAGGAAAACATTGGCTCACCTTATGAAGTGTTAATTCTTCGGTCTCTATCACTCCCAGCAAACGGCGTCTGATGTCACTTGCTGATATGTCGTTCTGAAATTATCCATTGCGCAAGTCAGATTTGAATCCGAGTCAGGATAAGCAAACTTTTTTAAAAGCTGCTTTATTCTACGTATTACTCCTGTGTTGTGAGTGCGTTTAGAAACACATTACATCTAGACCAGAAACAACAATTTGTTGATTACACAAAGAGTTGTTCCTTGTGAGAATAGAACACACGCACGTTGCGCAGCGGCCGGTTAGCCAATCACTGCGACAACCTGACATAGTCATCAACATGCTAGAACCAGAACCGGGTAAATACCAGTCAATTCATCCTATACTATTGCAATAGAGTTTGACTCCCAGGTCGATAAGGAATTCTTCTACAAAATTAACAGTAATTCTTAAAAAAAAATTGCTACCCTAGATTCCGATAAATGTAGTAATCGTGGCCAACCTTTGAAGGGAATATTAAAATATTGTTAAAATATAATAATGGATTACGTCATCAATTTCAAATACTAATTGATTATACGAATTGATTTATATAAATACATACTTGATTTTGGTAAACAACCAATAATAGCCGAATTATATACGTCCAAAGTTTTGGTAACTGGCATACGAATATCTTGCAACAATATTTAAATATACAAAGGCGTATTTTAAAAAAATACGTAACAACATATATTCTGAATAGTTTTCAAAAGTATATCATACTTGGTCAACATCCTGTAGTTCGAGCAGCGTGGAGTGTGGATGGGTGCGCACGCGCAGTTTGATGGTGATACCGCCGTAGTATTGCAGGAGGTGTTCCCCGTCCGCAGCCACTACTGGGGAACACCACTCCTGTTCTAACTCTTCTGTAATTCACAAATTTAGTGTTAATACACAAACAAGGGTCAAAGAATTGACTTAGAAATTATATTTTTGTTGTGTCATGTTCTAGTTTGTTACAGATAAAATTATGTCTGATAGAGGGAAGTGGAACAAAGATCTTATTAAATTAACCTATCACAGTACAACTTGCTTCTACTAGTAACTTCGCCTGCGTTCCCTTGGGATAAAAATATTCTATGAGTTATTCCAAACCATAATTGGCTAGGTTCCTAGGTTTAAAATAAATCGTTTTATTTTTTCACTGCAATAAATAATTAAAAAATAACCATTCTCTCATCCATTGATTTGACAATTTACCTACTTTTGGATTTTTTTCTCGCTAATTTTAAGGAAATAAGTATGATATTTGACGCAGAAATACAATGACGTCATAAGTTGCGATCCAAAACAAAATTCATAGAAAAGTATAGATTTTGACATTTCAATAAAAGTATTGAATTTGACCACCTGTCAACTACCGTATTTGCCCGTGTTCCAAATTTCAACCCGATCCCTTGACACTTTTCACGTGATTTAGTACCTACCAAACATATACTTGCTACAACTACAACCTCTCTTAAACTTTCACATTTATAATATTAACTAGTAAGAAGTAAGATGTATAAAAGAGAGGGTAGACTTACAAACGATATGACGAAAGAGTTTTCGTTAAATACCTAGGCGACCCTAGATACCTAGATACCCAGCTTCAAAATCAATAGACATTACCTTTTCCTTTGGCAAATGTGAGGTAACACGAGGCAACAGATGTCGCTGGCATTCCTTCGGGCGGATAGCGGGCACAATGCGCAGGAGTCGAATAGTGAACCGCCGCGTTAGGGGGCACCATACAGCACCATCGAGTTCCTGCGCATTCTGTTACTGCCTGTGGGTCAGAATAGTATGTTTGTTTATACATACAAAAATATGCTATGAAAAATACAATGTCTCAGATTTTGTATACCAAATAATATAGGAGGCAAAAGTTTTGGATAAACTCTGTTATGCGGCTTATTCGCGTAACTGTTCACTTTGTAACATAATGGCAAGAGGCCTATGACTATGAGCCCAGAGCGTGGACGCTCTCGTTTAATGAGGTATCATTAAACAGATACGTGAGCAACGCTCGAATACAGAAAGGCTACTAAATAAGTTGTACTTAAATATCGTGCCATCTCTGTCTTTTTACAAACAATTTGTAGTGACAACTATACTTAAGCGCGACTTAAAATTGAGTAGCGTTTGAATATTTCAACATAAATCTCACATATATTTCATGAGAGTCCAAAAGTTTAAAGCCTTCTAACTCACCACAGTATGTGAAGTGGACGGTTCTTCAGGGAAGTGCACCGGTTGTGCGACGGCTAACGTGAGGCGGGTGTGATTGTGGACGAGGAACTGAGGACACGGGTCCGGCGCCACCACCACCAGCCAACGGTTGTCATTCTTTATCTGAGTCACCACTATTGGCACCTGGATGTAACAAAACAATAAATACGTTATAATAATATATGGATCTGTGTACGTTGCAACAACTTTTGATAAAACTGATACCGTAGTAGCTTAAGAGGTAACAAGTAAAGTTCGTCCTGTAAGGGTAGAAATTTATTCGATAATGATTTATAACAAGCTTAGGCCAATAAACCTAGCAGCCATCAGCCCTGCACACATATTTGTTTTAAAACCAATTTATTATGATCTCTCTTTGAATGATCTTTTTACGCATTACACAGTCAGTGTATATTGGACTATAGCCCACATAGTACATTCATGCGTTATAAATCCTGATCTAATCAGTGTTTTAATTTATTTCTGTTACAGAATACCAAATTACTTACCGACTGCATAGACGAGTCAATGAGCGCTACCGCCCGTCGTAACGGTTGTACCCCGAGCCGGATGGGGACGGGGGCCTGCATCGGGTTCATGCCGGACGACAGAGACAGACACAGGTACGTGCGCAGCTCCGACGGATCCCCGCCGCGCCAGCGCCCGCGCAGCCAGAACCGAGTCAGTGGAGTGCCGTGGACACTGCAAACGGATATAACTAAATCAGCAATGTGCGGTTCCACTGAAGCGGTGTGGAGTGATGCAGAGCGGGGCTGAGCCGTTAAAAGGAGTACATGTTTCCACTAAAGCGAGGCGGAGCGAAGCAGCTTTGCCTACTCGCATCATGTAACGCCTGGTGCATGAGTTTTCCACTCCTCGTAGCTCCTCTCTCCGCCAGTCTAATCTAACTGGTTTTCCCAATACTTTAATCACTTGATATAAACCCCCAAAATTTGTTCAGACAAAAGTAGTCTCTAAATATCGGACATGAGGTCTATAATGGAGTTAGTGAAGAGCAGTCACCAATGACCGCTTGAGGATGGTATTTCTTTTGCAGCGGATTGGAGTGTATTATGGATTTCAAAACCACATGAGCCAAAATCGCATAATTTGAGAGTAGCTGTTTTCTCCGCTCTACCCGCTCTACTTCAGAGGAAACGCACCTTAACGGCAAGGTAAATAAATCGTAAACCATGATCACCAAGACTGGTCATTTTATGCCCCTATACGAAACAGAAGAACAGAAGAAACGACTTGTTTAATTTTATATTTCTCATTCACAGCCTATTACAGTCCGCTGTTAGACTTCGTTTTGTAAAGTTCCAGGTTAATCAGAAAGCGCGAATGTTTTGTCTCCGTTAAATAAATGTAATTTTCGCTTGCACAATTAATTTTGATTAATACGTAATAAACGAACTTATTTAACATTACAAGATACAAATAACAGTGGTTACAGTACCTTCCCTCCTTAACAGGCATGACCACTTTGAATGACTTGGGGCGCAGGGTCGTGTACTCGTCCATGTCGTTCGGAACTGCTACTGCTGACACCTGTGTGTTTGTAGTGACAACACATAAGAATAACATAACATATTTTTAAGGTATACCCTATTTATACGTAATGCATTTCGCAAAAGTTGTAATACAAAAATAGTCTGAAAGATTTCTAGTTTTTACCCGCCCTGCGCACGCGCATATATCGAGTTAATTCATAATTTTCGTGCGAAATTCATAAAATATTCGCTTAATGGTCCCTACGATGTTTAAGAAATTTCTTTTTACATTCGATTATCTATCACTGATATAGTAATGATAATCAGCATAATTTCGTAGTATTACAATAGTTCCACGTACCAAGAGTTCCGTGTCGAGTCTGTTTATGAGTACGTAGGAGGTGGACACACCGAGCACGTTGATCTCCTTCTTGATTTCATAGTATAGGGTCAGCAGCGCCACCTGGGGTACAGCAACAATACTACCATTAAAAGAGATTACTTGTATTACGTGTAAAGAATGTGTAGGTGTTATCAAAAAACATTAAAATTCTTTTACTTACTTCAGAAATGAACTCGAAAACTCTTAAGTGCAAGCGCAACAAATAGAACAGAAAACATGTTCTGGCTAAACATTATCAACATAACTGATGTAGTTGGAATACTAGATTTACTGAGAAGCTATAAGAGATGAAGTTCGTTGTACATATCTTAGTGAAGCATACTTCATAGGTACCTACTCGTTTTGATTTCATCAGACGAAAGCAAGTTTTTAAGAACAAGCAAGCGGATTACACAAGTATTACCTTCTGGTTGCAGAGTATAGCGAAGTTAGTGGCGTGGTCAAGTGCAACGTGTCCTGGCGGCGGAGTGCCGTACCGACCAGGGTCTTCCGCTGACACCTGTAGCTGACTGCTCACGAACGTCTCGCGACCCATCTCCACTGACATGAAGAACGGTTTCTGGAATGTAATAGTTTATATGCAAAATAATGTAGAATATGCCGTACATGGTGCAGCCGATCGCGATGGGTATTAAAAAAATCTTTCTATTCCATGTTTGTTGATGTCAATTTATTGGCTTTTACGATTTTTAATTTGGTCTAGAAGTTTATGCGTGATGTCACTTTTTTATTGAATATTTCGGCAAACGTAAACCTTGAGACTACTTGAGGGGGGATTGGTCATCCTGAAATCTCACTCACACGGCGAACCACAACGCAAGCATTTTTTCAAGCCAGTTTTCTATAAGGCCGTGATATAACTCCGGTCGAGCCGGCCCCCTGAAGCGTGGGTCTCCCACGTGATAAATAGGCAAATGTAAAATTATGTGCGTCATACCTTGATGATAGTAGTGGGTGGCGAGATAGCAGTGCCTGGTTCGAGCTTGCAGAGCGGCGCGGCGTCGTAGGCGCGCAGTGTGAGCGGTATGGGCGTGGCGTTGCACATCAACGCTACCGGACACAGCTGGACCTCCAGGCTGCAGCCCCCGCCAGCGCGCACGGCCGTGTACCGCACCTGCTCACGACATTGTCATCGTTAAATGTGCAAACTTTAATAACCTAGACCAATGTTAGTTAAGGACTTGCCTTCAACACTTTTCTATTGGCAGTCATACGCTTAAAGGATGAAACAGGCGTTAAATTTTAGTGAAGATTTGTTTTTGTTAGATTTAACCCTTTGAGTACCGTCATTATAGGCACAATTAAAGAACAATAGGTTGCGGTCACCGGTGTCCTCGCGGTGTTTGACAGTTCAAAGTAACACCGTAAATTGGTCTGTATCGATTTTAATCGAGCGCGCAGCGAATGCGTTGCAAATATGGCGAGGTTTCGCAGAAAGAACGTGACGGACGTATGGTAGGTAAATACGTCGACTCGCGCATAGTAAATGGTGTTGCATTCCTCAATTCAAGGTTAAACATTCTCATTTTAGATTAACTCGTCGAGTACCGGTTTTGTAGACACAATTATAGAACAATTGGTTGCGGTCACCGGTGACCGCTTGGTGTTTGACAGTTTAAACCTAAATTATTATACTTACAGTGACATCACATCGTGGTTGTATCGATGCGGCAAACCATTCTCCATTCCAGTGTCTAGCGACCACAGAGTATGGCCATTTCGACGTCGCATTATGAGCCGAACGACTCAACCTAGACATTAATATATTATGTTACTACATTTTTATTAACATGGACTTGTAGCTTTGACTTGGTACTACTAAATTATTATTTGTTTAAAACTGAGAATACAGAATATTTGACTACTTTCGAGCCACATCGGGACTCTCAATCAGTCACGTAAATGTCGAGCGGCCTAAGGTCTTGTCACTTTTGTACCTGCGTGTAGCCGCTTAAGCTGCTATAGACGTAACTTATACTATCTTTATGTCTATTGAAACACCGGCTCTCGGTATAAAACACATTATGGCCGCAACTTACAACAGACAAGAGGCTATTACCTCGCTAATAGTCATAATTTCCGGTCGAAGATCCCACTAATAGCATCTCCCGCTAATAGCAATAACTCCCGGTCCTACATCCCTCTAATAGCATCTTCCGCTGTTTTAGCATACGCTGCTAATAGCAATAATTTCTAGTCCAGAATCCCACTAATAGCATCACCCGCTGTATAATATCATATTCCGCTCACAGCAATAAAATCCCAATAATAGCATCTCCCGCTAACAGCAATAACTCCCAGTCCTACATCCCTCAAATAGCATCTTTCGCTGTATTTGCATACACCGCTAATAGCAATAATTTCCAGTCCAGAATCCCACTAATAGCATCACCCGCTGCATAATATCATATTCCCCTAACAGCAATAATTTCCGGTCCAAATCCCACTAATAGCATATCCCGCAAATAGCAATAACATTTGATCCAAAATAGCTTACCAGCGTTGGATGTCTTTGATGACGTCATCAACGTTGAGTACAGGCGATCGTTTGTCAAACACGGAGGTGTCGGTCACACCGTAGTGTAAGGGCACCGCCTCTCTTGTCACTGGACACTCAATGTTCCTGTGGGAGATATAAATAACTATATTTGTGTTTTTGTTTGTGGGAAAATGATTAGGAATTCGTAACGTTTGTGTAACTAGAAAGAAAGATAATCTAATAGATTTATGAGATTTGGGATATTTATCCTGAACTAAGCGCATCGCTCAATCCTATTTCATTTGATTTTTTATAGGATGACCACGTGTCATGTATCAAATATGGTAGAGTTAGGAAAATAAAAAATGTTGATGATGTTCTATAGTTCTGTTATAGATATCATAACACTATATATTTGGTAATAAAAAAAATGAATACAACACTTACTTTTTCGGTAATATGCTAGAAAATATTGTAAACATTAATAAAAGTGAATGACTAGATAAACTTATTTTTTTCTATGCGAAAGCTGAATAGTTTGTTCAAAATCTTTATTTCATCTTTCAAGAATGCTTAAATTTGAAATCGCGCAGTAATATTAGGACACGCATGGTCACCAATATGATTTATTGCGACAACAAGGCAAGTTGTAAGTGTCGGTGAGCCATGCTTCGGGACGGATGGGCCGGCTCGACCGGAGTGATACCACGGCCTCACAGAAGATCGTCGTGAACCAACGCTTGAGTTGTGTTTCGTCATGTGAGTGAGGTTACCGGAGGCCCAATCCCCCCCCCCCTCTTCCCCAATTTCCCTAATCCCCGAATCCCCAACCATCCTCAAACTCCTAATCTCCAAAAGGCCGGTAACACAGTTGTAACGCCTCTGGTGTTCCAGGTGTCCATGCGCGGCGCCGATTGCTTACCATCAGGTGATCCGTCAGCTCGTTTACCGGCTTATGCCATAAAAAAAATGCATACTGCGAACAACGCAGCCACTTTGCCACTTTCTATAGTCGTCCGGTTGACCAGTTAATCCGCGCGCCGTTAAAGGGAGTAACCGTTTTTACTCACTAGATGGCGCAAAAGTAGGAGAATGGTTTTTTATCCAATCCCAGCAGCTGTCAAATATTAAGCGTCCAATGGTGTGACACTATTTCCCTATAGGACGAACAACGACAGGGTCACACTAGGGCCATCTATTGAGCAAATAAACAGTAGGCCCCATTTTGCGACCGGGACTGTAATAATGATAATAATTGTGAATGAAGATGATGTTTTTATATATTGATGGGTCGACATTTGACCACTATCTCGCCTGTAGGTAACCGATGATGCGGTCTACGATTCTTAACGATTTATCATGAACAAAATCATAACAAAAGTAAAAATCCTTAAATGTAAGATACATACTTATACTGGAAGGACAGACTATGCCTAGCCGCAGTAGTGCCTGGCGCCTGTAGGTGAGTGCTGGACCCTCGACCCGGTGAGGTCTGTAACATCGGTGGAGGCCGTGCCTGCTGCGAATCTTGGTCCACCGTCGCCGGTGCAGGCGATTCTGTTACTATTAGTACCTGGTGGATGTAGAGAGAGAATTTATAGATACCCGCGGGAAGTTTATTGGCAAATGGGTACTTTCCTTAGTCTAAAATAAATTATTTGAACTGTTCAATACCATAAAATAATAAAAAAATAATTCATTCATATATTTTAAGCCCAATTTAATATTAGAATCTAAGGTAATTTTTAAGAAATAAGTATGATATTTGATGCTAGAAAAACGTGATGTCTCAATACACAATCTCGTACAAAATTCATAGAAAACTGTCGTTATTTGACAGTTAAAAAAATCATTAAATTTGACTAGTTGGCAAGTATTTGAAATGTATCTATTGTACTCTGCTCTTGTATAACAATAATATCAACATATTGAACTTACTTCTGTGTCTAGAGGTAAATGTGAATGTAACACGTATAGAGGCCATACAGTAGCAAGGATACGCCCATCGTTGCGCCCGCGCACCACGCGACACCATACTGACACAAATTGTGTTTCTCCTTCCGTTGGTACTGCGAAAGTTATAAAAATAAAATATAACACTGTAAACAATGTGTTACATTTAATTGTAACCTCACTGTTTTTTCTTATCTTAAGATTTCATGCATGTACGAAACATGCATGATAAAAAACCGACAACATTCTGTGATTCAGTTTATAAATTATCGAATCATTCTATAAGTTCTGTTGCCAACACGGAGCCGCAGAGGACTTAACGGGTTGCCCGGGCCAATAATCAGTCAATAATAGTTTGACACTCCCTCCCGCCTCATCCGGGCGGGAGAAGTCATTTGATGATTTTCCCCCCTCAAAACAAAAAGTGGGAAATTACCTATTGTTTGTGATGGATCACCTAATGGTGATGGTGATTAGCAATCTGCCCAATCCCAGTAACACCACTCATACAAAGATCTTGTAGTGTCACGCCACCGTTTGTCCGGCCGTGGTACAAGTCTGGTCCAGTTATGCCAAAGCATGTCCCTCCCAAGGCAAAAGCACTAAATATATTCAGTGTATTAATACCTTTATAAAATATTGCAATCTTTACCTTTGACCAACCACGGTACGTTTTCTTTAGGGCACTCCTTGAGCGGTATGTCGCCTGACCAGCAGGTGTTGTGTGATCTCAACTTTATTCTGTAACCAAATAGATATCGAGAAATTATAACTGTAAGAAATTTTAAAATTCAAGACGCAGACATTTTAAAGAGTTTTCGGTTTTGTGTATGTCAATTTCATAGTAAAATTTTAAATAAAAATATTGTGCAATAACTAAAATACATATTATTACTCATCTTTCTAAATAATCGTACATTTCTAATTAATAAAAGTTACCCTTACTTCCTTATCTTCTGCTGGTGTTGTAAGTAATGGTCGACTGAAGCTAGTTTTTCGGCCGAAACCGAAACCCACGCGGTCAAGTAGATTTTTGAATAATGGTATGTTTTACCTATTATAATGACTACTACACAAACATAAAATTTACATGTCAGTTCATTCAAAACACAACCTCTAAAGAATTTATGCGCACACGCACTAAGTTTTGTTGCTATCCGAACGACGCACGTCTATTCCCAAACAGGGCCGACAGAGTCCGCCAAAGCGTTGCCGCGGGAAACGAAGCGTGAACGTGTATGAACTTGCGACATAGGTTTTGGTTTCGGCAATTTTTATGTCCTATTTTGGCCGAAACCGAATCTGCCATCGAAACTTGATTTTTGACCAAAACCGAAACCTAACTTTCGGTCGTACACTAGTCGTAACTAGCAGTAGGGGTGCTGACAAATATTTGTTGCCACCTCAATGCTGCAGCCATTTTGAAAATTAATCTAGTCCAAAAAGATCCTTACTTGAGCACCATGTCGCAGTCGGCACTGCAGACGACGCTGCGACCGACGGTTTCCGACGTCATTTCACCCGAGCACAATGTCCGCCATTGTGGAGCTTCACTGCAGTGAGCACGAACCTGCACAAACGTAAACCTCCTTGAAGTGAAAGGTTTATAGAGTATTGAACGTCTCCTGGCAGATAATGGTGATCGAATTACTTGTCTTTATGAAGAGTACTAAGTAAAAAGTTCGGTAAAATCTACCACAATTTTTGTCTACAGTGCATGGGACATACATAATATAACATCACGCCTTTATCCCCGGGCAGATAAGCAGAGGTGCATATTACGGTATTTAATGCCACTGTAATTGTACACCTACTTTTCACTATTTATGTTATGAGCCCATGTAATAGGGGGCGAGCCTATTGCACGAGGCAATATTACAAAAAAAGTATTAATGATACAAAACTGACTAGTGATCAATGAATGTATCAGTTACCTTATAGAGTAGTGTGGCTCGCAGCATGTTGGCGAGCACCAATCTCCCGGAGAGGTGCATGGTCTTGGCGGCGCCCGCATCCTCGACCTTCACATGAACGAAAGCGCTTGTAGAAGACATTTGCTTGCTGTTACTTGGGTCCGGAGTATCGATCTTCAGACGGTGCACGCCCGCCAAGAAAGGCAAACCTGAAGTATAAAAAATAACATTAAAAGTCTTTTTACGTCTATTGCAGTTTTTCAGAATGAAACATGTGTAGTAGAAGTTAAGTCTTTTCAGTAGAAATAATTATAATAAAAAAACATATATGCACGTAATGAAGGTTTCGAATAAAACAATACAATATGCGCCACTATCGAGCTGTGACTCGAAACTTAAAAACTAACAGGACTTCTATAGCGCCGCCTTATACCTCTATAAGTAGTAAAAGCACAACACTTACTAGACGACCAATGCCAATCTGCTGTAGGACCAGCCAGTGCGAACCGAAGCCTCTTGGGAGCCGTTGGATTACGCCACCTGGCAAATAAACAAAAAATTGTTTTAAAAAATATGTTCACACAAAACAGTTTCCCTCGCGTCATGAGTGCGTTTACAAACATACAAATGTGGGCAGTTATATTTTAGTTCACTAGATGGCACTAATGTGATCCTCTCTTTTCTCGTCCAATAGGCAATAAGCTAGTGTCACCATTGGGCGTTTACTATTTGACAGCTGCAGTGATTGAACAAAATCTTCTTGCTACATTCCCACCACCTTGTGACCAAAAATACGTCAGCCCTCATTGACTTATTCTTCATATCCAGATGCGTAAATATCATACCTTGTTCCTGCGGGAATACTATTCACTTATGACGTATGTGACATTAATTGAGTAACGTTACCTATAGGCCAGTATGACGCCAGGTCCCAGTGGCACAACTTCTTCTGTGTCCTCTTGTCCTACTCTCATGGCAGACGCGCAACTGTTGTGTACCCAAAGCGACACTCTCCCTTCTAAAGTCGCGACCGCCGCCTCAGCCACCACCATTTCCTCCTGCTCATGTTCTTCTGATAATTCCTCTTCATCATCCTCGCACAAAGATTCCTCGACTGCGTTGCTCAAATACTGTAACATTTATACAACATATCTTTATAATATTCTGATTATACGTAGGAACGTTAACAGACATATTATTTATTATATAGCGATAGGAATGAATATTAATACTACAAATAGCCCAATAGATGGCGCTTTGGCATAAAATCCATCCAGATGACTGATGCCTACAAAGATATTTGTTTGTTTGCTTACAAATTGCGTAGTCGTAAAATCCACCTTTTTTTTCAAATTACTTTCAAAATTAAACGTTATCCACTAATGTGATGTAAGATTTGTAATGATAATTTGAATAAATTATTCAGGCAATGGACTAACAACACACTAAGGCTAAATTATAAGCACAAAATCGATCGATCGATCGATCTATTGGACTGACCTCGTCATAGGCCATCTTCCAATCCTGGCAGAGGGACTGCAAGGTCCTGAGCCTTGGTATTTGCAGCGCTACGTGAATGCCAGTAGTCAGGACACGGTAGCGAGCAGTCAATAGAGACTCTTGTTTATCCGACAAGCCACCTTGAAGACGAAACTCTTCAACAATCTCCTCCATGGTACCCGTCGAACTGTCTATCATGTCGGTGCTGGAAACAAAGTAATAAAATTATGTAAATCATTTTAAAATGCAAAATTGTACTAAGTTATGGGTCCTACAAGAGCACCCGGTGCGTTACCCCCTATACGTGCGGATGGTGGCAAATTTGGTGGTTTAATGAGGCAAACATCTCTATCTTATTCATTAACCACAAACAGCCAGGCGCCTTTTAAAGGTTTCCTACCGCAATATAACATAACATAACATCACGCATTTTATCCCCGAAGGGATAGGCAGAGGTGCATGTTATACTAACACTCACTTTTCACTATTTATGTTATGAGTCCTATGTAATAGGGGGTGAGCCTATTGCCATATACCGGGCACAATTGCAGACCCCGTGCTACCACTGAGAATATTTAAAAACCCAGTAATACTTTGCCCGACCCGGGTATCGAACCCGAGACTCCTTGCCCGGCAGTCGAACTTACGACCACTCGGCCAACGAGGCAGTCCAAATATGCAATTAATATTACATACTAGCTTCTGTCAGCGGCTTCGCCCGCAGTCGCGGTGGTTAAAAAGTAGCCTATGTGTCATTCCGCATCATAATCTACTCAAATTTTCGGAGTTTTGAGGTAATTGAGTTACAAACATACACACAAACACACTAACACATTTATAATTAGTATGATCAAAAAAATATTGGAATTCGAAATGAAAATGTCTAGACTGATATTAGCCTCAATATTATCTAAAAAAATATAGCAATAATAATCAGACTCACGATAGATTAGTGTCAACCATGACGAGCGTCCCGGCGGGCGAGCCGTACAGTGTATGGAACGCCGTGGACCGCGCGGTCACACTCAGCACTCGGTGCGTTCGCATCAGTGGCCTCGACACGTAGTAGCCTTCTAGGTACGTCGCTGCACTGCAGAAAAGAAATGATAATTTACAAATTGATTGTTCTTTATCGATGAAAGTAACTTACACCACAAACACCAGACAAGACATACAATTCGTTGCTGGCTTTTTAAAATATACGCTATTAGCTGGGAAGATTGAAATTTCTATCGGATCGAAAATAATTTTTTATTTTAGTATTAGTCATTGTATTGTAACGTAATATTGTATTAAACTTTCCGTCAACACAACTGTATATGCACATCGTTAAAGTTAAATTAATCACACTTAACAAACAGCTGCGCGGGCGCAGCGCCACGGACGTCGGTTTAACACAGTCATAGCACAATTTGCGAGCTTTAACCTGTACCTACTAATAACATTCTAGTTACTTTTTGCATCTTACCTAGTTAATGAGGGCAGTGAGTTATGCAGGTGTAAGTTAAAATTGGCGACACGTAACACAGCTTTCGTCCGCGGGAGGAGTCGAGGCGCAAAGTATGAGTCGACGCGCAAAACTCCCGACAGCTGTTCCGCCGACACTCCCGATACTGACTTTACATCCATCTGCTCTGGTTGCTCGTCAATTAACTAGAAAACAAGGTTGTTTGAACAAGTAAATTGACATTCAGTACATAAAACCAAGAAGAATAGATAATAAGAACAAAGCCGATTACAAACGGACTATAAAAGATGGAAGGTGTTGTATGAGGAAAGAATGATATGAAAGGCATGTGGTTTGGGATGTGTGCGATGTGACGTCCGATAGGATAGAATTTAAAGAGATTCATTGTGTTGATTTTCAGTAACTTGCACATCAGTATACTAATTGCAATAGCCACATTACAATTTAAGATCAACGAACATGAGAAAACTTAAAGAAAATAAACATAGTGTGCTATATTGTAGAGGGACATCTATTGGCACAGTGTAGAATTTCTTACAGATATCGTTCTTCCTAGATGGCGCTAACAAAGATACATAAAATAAAAACATTGTTTTTTTTTCATTTGTAATTATGTAGGATGAACTTACCAAAGGCTCACTGCGTGGCAGGAACCGACTAGACAAAAACTCGTAAGGCACAGGGGGCTCAGAGTCTTCACACACGCGGAATCGCCACATTATCGCAAACACCGTTTCTGTGAGAAATACATGAATTAAAAGAAAAATAACAAAAACCGGGACTTGGATTGTAGCTCTGACTTCGTATCTTCGAAAGATAACGAGCACACAAAATGTGCTACAAGTGCAACTGATTAAAATTAGAATTTTACTTATATTTTACATTATTTGTGACGACATTTCTTATTTTATTTATGTTTTACATTACTTGAATTAACTGTTTCCCATGAAAATCATCAAAACCTGAGAATTCCTTACCCGGTGGACTGACTGGCAGATTGAGCTCCTTCGGTTCTCTGAAGGGTATCTTGAAGTATGTGTGCGACTCCCACTTGGACAACATACTGTTGTACAACTCCAGCACACAACTTGTTTCCTTCTCCTACGAAACAGAGTAAGCACATTACTTGCCAAGATAGTAAAAGAACATAAGGAAGCATAATATGATTCATATACCATAAGGAAGCATAAGTGTGGGAGAGCCATGCTTCGGCACGGATGGGCCAGCTCGACCGGAGTGATACCACGGCCTCACATATGACCGACGTGAAGCAACGCTTGCGTTGGGTTTCGTCGTGTGAGTGAGGTTACCGGAGGCCCAATTACCCTCCCCTACCCCAATCTCTCCAATCCCTGAATTCCCAACGATCCTCAAACTCCTAATCCCCAAAAGACTGGTAACGCACTTGTAACGGCTCTGGTGTTCCAGGTGTCCATGGGCGACGCCAATTGCTTACCATCAGGTGATCCGTCAGCTCGTTTACCGGCTTATGGCATTAAAAAAACCAAAATCACTACATAGTATAAAACAAAGTCGCTATACGCCGTCTGTCTGTCCCTATGTATACTTAGATCTTTAAAACTACGCAACGGATTTTGATGCGATTTTTCTAATAGACAGGGTGATTCTTAAAGAACGTTTATATATACAATACATGCATATTCCACCCGTACGAAGCCGGGGTGGGTCGCTAGTACTATATATAATATCACGCCTTTTATCCCCGAAAGCAGAGGTGCACATTACGGCACTTCATGCCACTGTACCATGTAATGGGAAATTTTCACAATTTATGTTATGAGTCTCTTGTAATAAGTGAGCTTATTACCATATACCGGGATAATTCCGGACTCCGTGCTACTACAGAGAATTTAAAAAATCCAGTGGCACTTTGTTCGACCCGGTAATCGAACCCGAGATCCCTTGCCCGGTAGTCGCATTTGCGACCACTCGGCCAACGAGGCAATCACATTCTAAAATGTAATATCTGATAACGAATCGGCAGAGATATAATAGTTCAACATCAGTGTGCAATGCAGTGTTAATTTTAACCCCCTTGTGAGCGACAATACAGCTCGATGCAACGTAATAAGATAAGATGCGCATGCGCAATTCTGTAAGTGTCAAATTTCAAATCTTGGAGAAAAACAATATAACTATGTGGTGTTGCACTTGGACGCCTTCAAAAAAACTTCACGTCCTGTCTCGCTATAAAGTGTCACAAAAGACTATACTATGCCGTTAATTTCATCTTTATAGCCTATTACCATCCACGATAAATTGTCTATTCAACACATAAATAATTACTTCATTGTCGACAAGTGGTTTCGGAGATTAACGCGTTTAAAAAAACAACCAAAATTTTAAGTTTAAGTATTAATAAGTACATAGTATTAGTATATAACATAAGATTATGTTGTTTATGTATTACCTGTCCGGGTAAGGGAAAGGCGACGAGCCTGGTGATAGCCCTGGGGTGTGGGTAACGCCACGACACCGCGCTGCCATGCAGCATCACCTGGTACGCCATCGGTAGCTGACCACCGCTCAAGATCTTGAAGGCTCCACTCCTGTCGACAGACCGAAGCCACTGTTTTTACATCACATTATGGCAATAGCAATGAGGGGTTGCAAATGCGTTGCCAGCCTTTTTTCAGTGGACTAAGTATTTGTTGCCCGGGCTCTTACAGTAGTAAGCTAAATTGTGTTTGGATCCCAATGTCATATTGTGAGTTTAGATCACTACCAATCAGATCAGTTTATGTACACAATACGTTAATATTGAAAAATTAACAGTTCACAACTCTTTAAAATTAGTATATTGTCTTAATGGCTATGAACATAATTACCAGTTTTATAGATTCATTTATTTATTTAAAAATCTTTATGCGCAAAAAAATCACATAGGTGGGCATTAATTGCACCACAGGCATTTTCTACCAGTCTGACCCTTGGGTGATGCAGAGAAAGTGGCCAACGGGCGCAAAGAGCATGCAATGATATGCAACGCCATGATTACTTAACTTACACCAATTAATGATATAATACAGATACTCAATAACTAAGTGGAAAAAACTACAATCCTACCACGAACTACATCTATTAGAACTATTATTTGTGAGTGAATCTTTTGTTACATATCTTTTGTTTGGTCTCGCTTACCTGAGATCGTCTTTGTAGAACTGGTCACAGGACTCAGTGTCTGAGGAGATACCCTGGGAGGAAAACTGTGAACTGTGTGTGAACACATCGCGGTGTGACGCCGCGTCCACGGCCGGGTATATATTCAAATTTATTTTAGTTGGAATCTGTGGGAATAAATATATACTTACTTTAGTCAACAGATAATGATTCAGATACTACATCAATGGGGGCTATCGTATTTTTGCTCACCAGAGGCGCAAATATCGTGGTGGTCCAGAGGTTAAGACGATCGCATGTCATATGTGAGGGCAATATGACTTTCGCCGAGTTATATGTACTTTCTAAGATTATTTAGACACCACTGACCAACGGTGAAGGAAAACATCGTGAGGAAACCTAGACTTATAATTTTTAATTACAAGTTTGAAATCGCCAACCCGCAATAAGCAAGCGTGGTGATTAATGCGAAACCTTCTCCGAATGAGAAGAGGATTTGCTCAGCACTGGGCACTTATAGGCTGTTGATGATGTTGATGAGAGGCGCAAATGTCGGAAGAGGGGTTTTTGTCGAATCACTGCAGCTGTCAAATATTGAACGTCCATTGATGTGACACTAGATAGGTCCGTCTCGGACGAAGAACGAGAGGTTTACACCATTACATCATCGCCATCTGTTGATCAAAAATTCGGTAGGCCCTATTGCCTGTAACGTCCATTGCCGGGTTATGGGGCTCCTCTACATAACATGGCAAACCGCCATAATCGTTGCGATTGGCAAGAAACCTGAAGATCGCATTTTAAAGTTAACGTTTATCAAAAAGTGCTGTAGTGCATTCTCTTTCGAGTATGTAGGTCCTTGAGTCGGCTCTTATGACTGCATTAGAGGAATAGATATGCTGACAAATATATGACAGCGCCATATGGTTAACATTTTCATTTAACACCTACTGCTAGTCTGCTACATAGAAACCTGGTCTATGAATGGTAATAAGTTTAGAAAACAGTGACCAACTGCTGTATACCAATTGTAAAGACTAAATGGAAATATAATTACCCGTGGCATCTTGGCCAGTTCTCTGTAAGATCTTTCCAGTCGGTGGAGGGTGGCCAGCTCTGAAGGTCTGAGGTCCACCGTGACGTCATCGAATTCCACACTAATCCTCACGGTCGGTTCCCGCATAGCATGACCACCTTCTGCACGCCGCCATGCTTCCCAATAAGCTTCTAATTCCAAACTGTAAGAAAAATCGTAATATTTTTTATGACCACAATGTGAAACGCAAGAATTTTCTCAGGAGTGTCAATAAATGTCAGTACAGAGCTCTCTAGTGACATCTATCGCTACATGCTGGAGGCAAAAATTTCGTTGCTTACGCCAATAGATGGTGTGATTTAAATATCTGTGACCTTCGGTACATAATGGCAATACAAATAATAGCTATTAAAACAGAACTAAATTCCCGCCAGACACCAACATCTCAGTCGACAAAAGGATCTTTCCTTTTCTAAATTAGAAAACGTAGGCCTCCGGTTATCTCAGTCACAGCGTGAAACATAACACGTTGGTTGTTTTACTTTGATTTTCGGTGAAGATTTTCGGTTCTGTATCAAAAGAACAAACCAAAAATCTCTCTAAACAAAAATACATACCCCATCATCAGGGGTTGCAGGATGACATGTCTCCGGTCTGCAGGCGAACCGGCTGCGACCAGTAGCGCAGTGACGAGCCCGCGCGCGTTCAGTCTCTCGGGACGAGAACTGGCTGATATCTGCAGAGTGAAACTGTCCCACCCTACTATCCCCTCGTGTCCACACGCTGAGATCTGGCTTGTATGGATTGTTATACTCTCCATGCCTTCGGATACTAAACAAAATAAATGATATTAACATATTGAGTTGGAAGCACATTATTCTGTAGGGTGTTGTGAGTGAAGATTACACATATCATGTTTATTTCTTTTTATTGGCATCCTACACAACTGCTTTCTATATGAGGGTGATAATGAAGTAACGATTATCGTGACAAGTTACAAGAACACTTATTTTTAGATACCTATTTTTAATTTAGATTAATTTTCGGAACTTCCAATCTGAATTCTCTGATGAGATATACCGAAACAGACTCAGAATTCGAAACATCAATTTGTAGTTCACACGCCAAAATGTGGGTTCGAACCCGTGAAACATCGTGAGGGATAAAATCTATTATAAATGTGTGGCAACTTACATAATTGTTTTTTAATTCTGTACAGCAATGGTTTTTCAGGAATGTGTGAAGATTGTGGAAGCGAAGTCCGGTTGCTTAGATTCGCAGTCACCTGGAATCATAACATATGTATTAAAAGTCCCCATAAAATAATATCAATCAATATAATATTTTGAATGAATTTATAGCAGGTGTCATCAAAAATGAAGAGGTTTCTACTGTATGCCTCTTTATGACTGGTCACTGTTTTTCAACAATCAAGATTTATTTAAATATAGAGTTAAATACATTCCAATGCGCACGCGCATATTGTATACTTACAAGCAATATTATATCTCTGAGCCTCCTGAGGTTGTCGGTGGACACCTCGAGCTGCACGGGCCGCTCGATGTCCAGGCGGACGGTGCCGCGCGTGCTTGTACCCGACCCAGCCGACATGTCTGTATTATGGGTTTCTGATATTACTGGACTCATTCTTCATCAACCGCGAGCAAATAATATTCCCCCTTAAGGGCATTATAGGTAACCAAATCTTCAAAGCCCAAGTGAAAAAGGTGGCTTATGGAACGACGTGCTCCATCGTAGACCGCATCATCACTTACCACCAGGCGAGATTGTGGCGAAACGTCGCCCCAAGAAATATAACAAAATCCAAAACCCCACTAGCATAGCAGGCGACATGAAGGTCGCAGTTAGGTCACAAAGTTTAGAATGCTACTGGGTTCCTTAACAAGCATAAAGTAATCACATCAACAGGTTGTGATGTTTCACTGCTAGACTATGTGACTTGTATATAAGAGAGAGGGGGGAGAGAGAGGGGGGAGGG